CACTTCCAAAAGGTTGTGATTTTGTGGTTTTTTTGGACACTGCAGCCAGATGTAACGAGCACAGGGTGGAGCTGAAGGACAAACCGAGGCTCATATGACCCATTAGTTAAGCCACAGTGAAGCATGTCCTGTATTTCACTCTGATGGGGCCATAATTTACAAAATGAACAACATGTTGTTTTTAATAAGAACTCAAAGTTGAGAATGAGACCGTAAACAACAGGAAACTGTTTAATGAGGTCACAGTCCAAGTAGGGTCATTTTCTCAACTTCTATACAGTCAGACTTCTAGAAGAGTCGCCCCCTGCTGGTCTGCTAGAGAATTCATGTTTACGGCGCTTCTGCATTGGCATCACTTTTCAGAAGTCTACATCCACCTTTCATACGTTGCCTTTGGCTGACGTGGAAAAACAACCTGTTTACAAACAATCACAAAGGTTTAAATAATTCCCATCCAATAAAATAAATGCAGACAGATGCCAACACGATGCAATCAGTCTGAGTGAGTCTGTGTGGATGAGTGCAGCTCGTCTGCGCCGCCTCTCTTTGCAACAGGGACTCGACTCCACTGGTTGTTATACAGAAATAGATCTGATGGTTTTATTTTTTATAAGAATAAACTTATAGCAACTTTGTCCTGCAAAAACAACATCACTAAATGTGGAGGAATTTCTGATTTCCTGTTTCAGATCTGTGAGGTTCTGACTCGACTAGTGTAAGTAGTTTATGTGTGAATTTGTATTTAATGTTAAATTCATGTCTATGTAGATTTATGATTTCTGCAAAGCAGTGCAAACATGTAACTGTCATCTTGACCCATTCAGCTACAAATTGGTAGCAGATTCATAGCTGATGCACTTATTTCTATTGTTATTATTATTATTATTAGTAGTAGTAGTAGTAGTAGTAGTTGCAGTAGTAATATTATTAGTATTAGTATTATTGCTCTGTTGCCGACCAAAGTCACACCTGCTCCTGTGTTTGAAGCAAACATGTCAAAGGCAACAAAACTGCAAGTTTACTGCACAATAATTCTGGTTGTGCTTTCATCTCCAACCACTGTTCTTCCTTTAGCATGAGCA